CTTTGAAAAATTCTTTATTTTTCTTGAGGGTTTAATTGTGGTATAAGGTGAGTATAGTTGATTGGCTTTGCCTCTGAGTCCTTTCAGAGGGTCAAGCCTCTGCACAGGACCTTTATTGGTCACTAGGTTCTTGCCCTGGGTTTTACAGGTGGTGTGTACTGGAACAACATTTTTGGTGCAGTAATTTGGGCTACGATCCAATAGATAGCACTGAAGAGTAATAGCCAGCAGATAGGCTCTTACTCAACTGTATGGATCTTTTCTCTTTCAGTGCATTTGCAGCAGTATTCTGTGGTGGGGGGGGGCGGTGGGAGAGAGATGACATCCTCGCCAGTTCCATTGCCAGGTTTTACGGGAGCCTCCTCCAATCACTAGCACCATGCCTGCATTTCATTTGTTTGGTGTTCCAAACCATGGGGTTCCTCTGGGCAAAATCTACATTTGACAGACAGGCCACACCCTTTCTGGACCTGCCCTGTGGAGAGAGGAATGCCCCACTGCTACACCTGCCCATGAGCTTGCGTCTTAGTCTTCTCAGTGTTCTGAGAGTAGGGGCTCTTGCCCTGCATAATCACTAGCCAAAGATGTCAGTTTGGCACTCCTGAATTGTGTACTGTTCCTTTTTGGGGTGTTGGGACCTGGCTCATAGCTTTGTCCTCTGACCTCTCAAGGTTGGGTGCTGGCTGTGTTAGGGGGGTCAAAGTGCTTCCAGGCCCCTGGGAAAGCATTCAGGTGGGGCTGCCAGCAAAGCACTTATGCTGGACAGTGAAGGCTGTGCTGTGTACATGCCCTTGTGGGAGCAGCCAGGCAGTTGACTTGGAAGGAGCTGGCAGATAAGGGGCATGCAGAACAGAAATGCCACAAGTACACAGGAAGCCCTGTTCTCTTCTGGTCCAGTAGCCAGCGGGGGTTAGAGGTACTCAGAGGAAGATGAGAGCCTTGGAGAATGGGCACGTATGGTAGCATTTTGCTGCAGCTGCACAATGTGCAAAAATCTCCTAGACTCCACTAGGCTGGAGCTGTCTCTGCCTACTTTTTGGGACGATCTCTCTGCCAATTTAAATGTCTGTAGGGGTTGTGGGGTCTTTTGTAGCTAGTATCCCAGAGGTCTGCAGCAAGAGTGAGTATCTGTGCAATCAATTTATTCACCCCTTACTTAGGAGGTATTTAGGGCTGGTAACTAGTATTAGTGCTCAGAAACCTTGTACAGGATTTCCAGCTTCCTCCCTCTTCAGCTTAGGCATTTGCATAGCTTCTCTATAAACTCTGTTTTCTCTATGAAGATCTGTTTGAAATATGTTGGTCTACTTGATATTTTGAGCTCTCTCAGTGGGAGAGGTGCTCCATGGCTGTGTGTAGTTGGCCATCATTTCCCCCACAGGTACATTTGAACTCCATAATTCCCCCCCCCCAAAAAAAAAAAAAACTTTCCCAAACATTTCCTGTGAGGCATTAGATGGTGGGTTGCAGGTCTCAATAGTAATCTTTAGGTAACCGTAGGATTATAGTTGTTCTTATAATGTTCTTGAGCAATACCTGCTACTTTTCACCATGAGTGAGTTCTGCTATGTTGGGTGAACAAGGTGAGGACCTTGTGTGAGTCCTTCAGGTCGCCCCAGACCTATTTGAATAGACATACACAGTACTTTCTGATTAAGGCTTGTTCTGCTCCCTCTGGAAGTGGGGTCCAGAGTTCCATACTGGAGATGCAGACTGCCGCTGAGCTGGAGATAGTGTAGGCACAGGCAAATAAAAACATGATAAAGTTTTCCTAACATTTTAAAGTTGTTTTCTTCTTGAATCAGTGTTTACTTGGTTCCTGAAAAACTTTGAATGTTTTCCAGAGTTCTGGCAAAGTTGGTTCTGACAGTTTCTGCTGTTTTCTTTTGTTTCTCTGGAGGGAAAGGAATTGGAGCTTCCTAGGCTAATATTTTGCTCACATCACGCACCATTCCCTGCCCTGAGGATTTTTGATGTGTGTCTGGGAAACTTTTGTGGAGTCTTCTGCTTGCTGATAACTTGGGCTTTGTAGGGCTAAGTGGAATTAGGGAAATAAACATAAGAGCACATTGGGAAGCCGAGGCAGGCAGATCATGAGGTCAAGAGATCAAGACCATCCTGGCCAACATGTTAAAACCCTGTCTGTACTAAAAATACAAAAATTAGCTGGGTGTGGTGGTACGTGCCTGTAATCCCAGCTACTCAAGAGACTGAGGCAGGAGAATCGCTTGAACCGGGGAGGCGGAGGTTGCAGTGAGCCTAGATTGTAGCACCACACTCCAGCCTGGGTGACAGTGAGACTCTGTCTAAAAAAAATAAAAAATAAAAAATAAAAAAAAGCACAGGGGCCTGACTCGAACAGTTTGATGCTAACCAGGATTCAAAGTGTAGACAAAGGAAGCCTGGATGTTGGCAGACTCTTGATGAGGAAGATTTTAACTTTGCTTATTATACCAAACTTCTAGGAGTTCTAAATCTTGATTAGCCTCAGGAGGGAAGATCTGAAACTTTCTTTGTTTTCTCCTTTACTGCATCCCTTGGGTTTTTCTGAACTAACTTTCCTCAATGAATAACATTCCTTAGAGACACGTTGTGGAAGAAAAGACAGAGGGAGAGAGAAAGAGGGAAACTGTGAGGTACTGTGATTTCTGTACCTTTTCCTAAATACATATGTGAAGACAGTTTTCTCTTCCACTGAGAGGGAAGAAGTAGTAGCTTCTTCTGACCCACAGAGCAGTCTCAGCACTAATCAGGCATGATGTAGTCTGGGTTGAGACTTAGTCATACGGGTTTTCACTTCAATTTCGTTGAAGGTAAGTGAATTCCAGCAGTTTCCATCTGTGTAGAAAAGAGTGAGAGAGGTTCAGGATGGAAAGTTCTAGACCTGCCAACTTTCTAGAACAAGGACATTCAGACCCTACTGGGTAAGCTATGAGAGAGGCAAAGGAGATTGGCTCCTCTCCAAATTCCTCCTGTACAGCAGAGAGCACTTTCAGCTCTTCTCTGATTCACTGCTGGATGCAGTACAACTCCTTGCTATTGTCAAAACCATCCTTGACATCATCTCTACTTTCTTTTCATCTGGTCCTGGGCAAAGAGAGATTGTGGAAATCACTCTACTGAGCTCTTCCATCAAGTCTGTCCTTGTTACCCAACTGCCATTTTATAAGGAGTCTCAGAGAGAGGACTGAGTTATGAGTGAGCAATGTCTCAGTGAAGACAGAAGGGAAAGAAAGCAGTTTCTTTCAATGTTGGCCATAGCCAGATTTGGAGGGGCTTCGTTCATAGATTCGTTCTTTAACTGATCAATTCATTGATTCACTCAAAAGCAGTACCACTTCATTCTATATGAGATATAGTGAACAAAAATGACAATCTTTTTGCTTTCATGGTGCTTACATTGTAAAGTGAGTCAGAAAATAAAAAGTAAACATATAATTTCTCTTGATGAGCACTAAAAAGATAAATATATTCTAATGAGGTGACAGAGAGTGAAGGGTTGTGTGTGTTCTTTTAGACAGCATGAAGAGAAAACTTGAACTCAGATACTTGACCAAAAACCTGAAAGAAGTGAAAAATAAAGCCCAGGAATTCTAAGTTACTCAGGATGCAGGCTCTGTTTCATATATGTGACAGCAGAATCTTTAATATGATTTTGGGAGAAAAATGTGTTCATAGAAGAAATATAGGCTCTGAGGTGACTTCCTAAATTTACTGTTAGACTGAGACCAGAGTCATCTGTATTTAGGACGCGGCCTGAACCCAGATGTCACACTTGGTGGCTTTGGGCTCCTGATGGATCCAGGGCTTTGGATTATCCTGAAGGCAGAGGATGTTGAAATTGGACTAAAGTCTCCTATTTGTCAGACCCAGTACAAGTTCAGTGTGGGACAGGTAGAGGCTGAGGTACAGAGGTAAAGTTCTTCCTCTGTATTTCGTCTGAATTTTCTTTCTCTAAGAACAGTGAAAAGAGTTGTCAGAGTCTTGGAGAGGGATGGTCAGGCTCAACTCAACCCAGGTGCTGGCTGCCTGCCTTCTGTGAGAACACATTTACTGAGGACAGGAGCAAGGGAGCCTTTCTTCCCAAGATAGGGAGGAAGAAAGGAGTAATCCATGCAGGGAACCAGCTGACCAGTAGATTGAGAGCTCCTCAGTCCTTGCCCTCGAGAATTTACAGAAATTCCTCAGGAGACTTCCCTATCCTCACTCTCACCGGCACATCAGCACATAGCAATGATGATGAAAGTAAAGCAGAAGCTTTAAAATAAACATCCTATAAATGGAACCTACATTCTGATGAAACAAAGAAATCAAGTAACCAGCTCAGGGGCGTTGGCCAGGAAAACTTTTGTATAGAACATGATACTGGAGCAGGAATTTACAAGACAGAAAATACTTGGCAGACAGAGTAGTTTAGGAGCTTCCAGGTGGAAGGGAGTTAGTGGTAGAAGGGAACACACTGTGGTCCTGGAGGCTGACTGCTGGCTGTTCAGAGCAGAGTGGGAGGCAGGTGAACTGAGCATTGAGGGTGCAATGGTGCATGCTGGGCAGGGTACAGGTTCTCATGTCTACAGTATGGCACTGGGGACTGGGATCATCAACGCAATTTTCTTGGCATATTGTGTATAGTTAGAAAAATTGCCCCTAAACTGGGCACGGTGGCTCATACCTACAATCCCAGTACTTTGGGAGACTAAGGAGGGTGGATCACCTGAGGTCAGGAGTTTGAGACTAGCCTGGCCAACATGGTGAAACCCCATCTCTACTAATAATACAAAAAAATTCGCTGGATGTGGTGGCACATGCCTGTAATCTCAGCTACCCAGGAGGCTGAGGCAGGAATATCTCTTGAACCTGGGAGGTGGAGGTTACAGTGAGTCAAGATCGTGCTATTGCACTCCAGCCTGGGTGACAAGAGTGAAACTCCATCTCAAAAAAAAAAAAAAAAAAAAAAAGAAAAGAAAAGAAAAGAAAAATTGCCCCTGACCATATACAGGGAATAATAGAAGATGAACGCCTACCATTCTAGTCATGGTGTGCAGCCTGTGAGCAGAAGGGGGATTTCAGAACAGTTTCTACTTCTGTTGAGATGGGAAACCATATTAACTCTTTTTTTTTTCTCTAGATTTCAGAAGGAAAAAACACTCAGAAGTAAATGTTGGGGAATTGCTCTAGCACCACTGAATTTTTTCTCTTAGGCTTCCCTGGCTCCCAAGAAGTACGCTGTATCTTTTTTGCAACCTTCTTCTTCTTGTACGCAGTGACAGTGATGGGAAACACGGTCATCATCGTCACTGTCTGTGTTGATAAACGTCTGCAGTCCCCCATGTATTTTTTCCTGGGTCACCTCTCTGTCCTGGAGATCCTGATCACATCCACCGCTGTCCCTTTTATGCTCGGGGGGTTGCTGCTTCCAGGCACTCAGATCATATCTTTGACAGCCTGTGCTGCACAGCTATATTTATACCTTTCTTTGGGTACCTCGGAGTTGGCATTAATGGGAGTGATGGCTGTGGACCGTTATGTGGCTGTGTGTAACCCTTTGAGGTACAACATCATTATGAACAGCAGCACCTGCAGTTGGGTGGTAATTGTGTCATGGGTTTTTGGGTTTCTTTCTGAAATCTGGCCAGTTTATGCCACTTTTCAGCTTACTTTCTGCAAATCAAATGTGTTAGACCATTTTTACTGTGACCGGGGACAATTGCTCAAAGTATCCTGTGAGAACACTCTTTTCACAGAGGTTATTCTTTTTCTAATGGCTGTTTTCATTATCATTGGTTCTTTGATCCCTACAATTGTCTCCTACACCTACATCATCTCCACCATCCTCAAGATCCCGTCAGCCTCTGGGCGGAGGAAATCCTTTTCCACTTGTGCCTCCCACTTCACCTATGTTGTGATCGGCTACGGCAGCTGCTTGTTTCTCTACGTGAAACCCAAACAAACGCAGGCAGCCGAGTATAACAGGGTAGCGTCACTGCTGGTTTTAGTGGTGACCCCTTTTCTGAACCCTTTCATCTTCACCCTGAGGAATGACAAATTCATACAGGCCTTTGGAGATGGCATGAAACGCTGCTATCAACTCCTTAAAAATTGAGTCTGTCCTGGGTACTGTTCAAATCCTCGTCATGGATTTGAGTAATCTGATAGTACTAATTGAAACAAATCAAACAGCTCATGATCTACAGTGGGTATGTAAGCTATGACATGGCTTCAATTTATATTAAATTCTTTTTCCATGGAAGATCACCTCATTATTTTTTAAATAGATATATAAATTTATTAGCCCTCCGTACTTATAATGCATGTTGTAAAATAAATGTGAGAAGTGTAAACATCTGAAAGATGTTCAGTGTTTTGAACCCTTTGACCTGATAGTGGGAAAAACAAGAGAAGTGTGATATATTTTCTTTTTCTTTTTTTTTTTTTTTGAGACAGAGTCTTGCTCTGTCACCCAGGCTGAAGTGCAGTGGCTCGATCTCAGCTCACTGCAACCTCTGCCTCCTGGTTTCACGCTATTCTCCTGCCTCAGCCTCCCAAGTAGCTGGAGCTACAGGCGCCCGCCACCGGGCACGGCTAATTTTTTTGTATCTTTTAGTAGAGATGGGGTTTCACCATGCCAGGATGGTCTTGATCTCCTGACCTTGTGATCCATCCGCCTCGGCCTCCCAAAGTGCTGGGATTACAGGCGTGAGCCACTGCGCCTGGCCAAGTGTGATATATTTTCTTACATCTGATATACATATTTGATCCTAGGTGCTGAGATTATCTTCCTCTATATTGCCATATGGTTTCAAGGTGTCGTCTTATTGTGTAAACTCACCAGTACTTCTCTGAGTAATCTCAGGACCAGCACAAGCTTCAAACTTTCCTTGTTGATTCCTGCTTGCAGTGTCCAATAGCGATAGTGCCTTTCTTTGGGTTTTTTGATTGGCGTTTGTAAGAGTGAACTCACTCCTCTACCCTAACTGCCTAGCAATCTTAAGGCTGAATGTGTGCTCTTACAGGTGCATCTCAAATTGGTGGACCTTCTCAGGTGTGGATGGAAGATCTTAGAGAGAAGCATTTTATCTAATGTCACCCACGTCATTATGCCAGCTTCAAATGAGGGAAGGAAATGGAGCTGTGTTCTGTCTGGGAGGTGATGTGATAAGGGACAGCTGGGCTTTCTGTGTCTTTGGGCTGAGGGTGGAATGGAGAGAGGGCAGAGGGAGCCCCTTTTCCTGTGTCTTACACATTCTTCAATCCTGAAATAGCACTTTTGTCCTCAGTGCTCCCTTCGCTCTCCCACTTCCTGCTCAGTTTCTTTCTGAATTCCTTTTTGCGTCTCTCTCTGTGACTACCAGATTCATTTGTTTGTTTCTTTTTTTTTTTTTTTGGCATTTGATTTACTTTTATTAAAAATAGTTAATATGTAACATTCATGTTAAATAATGGCCATTTAAATTTTGTAGTACAGTGAAAATATTAATGTAAGAGTATTTTAATTATTAACAGGCTTATTTACCCTATTATTCAATTATATCACCAAAACAATTCTCGAAGTTGAAAGATTTTTCCAATCGTTTTTTATTTAAATGTTAGAAACCCAACTATATGAAGCCCTTTATAAATTATTCACATTTTTTCAAATTCTTAGACATTTGTTTTAGGTAATTCTCAAATGATTTTAAAACAGCATTTAAATTCTAAATGATAGTTTTTTACAACTTAAGTCATAGCTTGACTCATTTAAAATATTGCCAGGGAATTCAGCAACTTTTTGGACCTCCACATAGCTGGGGTTGTTAGCTCTGCCAAGTTTTTGAGTATGCTATAGCTGGTATGGTCCAACAGAAGGGCCCATGTGTATTCTGTCTCCTTGTGTTTCTTAGGTATTTGCTAAGAGAATGTAGAGGTCATATAAGAGCTGATTTTGTTATAGCAGCATCGTGATGGTTGTCATTTGCAGGTAGTTCTGTGTCTTGAGGTCTGCAGTGCAGCCAAATGTAGTTTGTTTTACACTCTGAGAAAACATTACTGCCACATTACTGCTTACATGTCGTGTGTCACAGTAAATCTAGCTACCACTTGTCTGTTTTGTACTTTTCTGAGTATATTTCCCAGTTGAGAGGATTTTTGTGGTTCTCTTTTTTTTTTTTAATTTATTTATTATTATTATACTTTAAGTTGTAGGGTACATGTGCATAACGTGCAGGTTTGTTACATATGTATACTTGTGCCATGTTGCTGTGCTGCACCCATCAACTCGTCATTTACATCAGGTATAACTCCCAATGCAATCCCTCCCCCCTCCCCCCTCCCCATGATAGGCCCCGGTGTGTGATGTTCCCCTTCCTGAGTCCGAGTGATCTCATTGTTCAGTTCCCACCTATGAGTGAGAACATGTGGTGTTTGGTTTTCTGTTCTTGTGATAGTTTGCTAAGAATGATGGATTCCAGCTGCATCCAAGTCCCTACAAAGGATTCAAACTCATCCTTTTTTATGGCTGCATAGTATTCCATGGTGTATATGTGCCACATTTTCTTAATCCAATCTGTCACTGATGGACATTTGGGTTGATTCCAAGTCTTTGCTATTGTGAATAGTGCCACAATAAACATGTGTACATGTGTCTTTATAGCAGCATAATTTATAATCCTTTGGGTATATACCCAGTAATGGGATGGCTGGGTCATATGGTACATCTAGTTCTAGATCCTTGAGGAATCGCCATACTGTTTTCCATAATGGTTGAACTAGTTTACAATCCCACCAACAGTGTAAAAGTGTTCCTATTTCTCCACATCCTCTCCAGCACCTGTTGTTTCCTGACATTTTAATGATCGCCATTCTAACTGGTGTGAGATGGTATCTCATTGTGGTTTCTTTTCCCCCTTGTTTTCTCACAAAACCCAAGTTTACCAAGCTGCCTTCTAGCTCTACACTGAACTCCCTTAATTCCTGCATCTCAGTTCCTGTATTGTCCCGTCCTCTCCCTAGTTCCTGTCATATTCACAATTTGCAATTAATATTTCTGTATTGCATGACACATTTTTCTGCATCATTACACAAGTGATTACACAAGTCTGGTGGCAACCCAAATGGACATCAAAAGATAACCACTTATATATTTTATGGGACTTTCCTTCAGTTGCTGTTATATGAGGGTTGGAAACATGAGGGTTTTCTGTATCAATAGAAAGCAACTGGGATTACAGTGGCTGTAATCCCAGCACTTTGGGAGGCTGAGTGGGCAGATCACAAGGTCAGGAGTTCGACACCAGCCTGACCAACATAATGAAACCCCGTGTCTACTAAAAATACAAAAATTAGCCGGGCGTGGTGGCGTGCACCTGTAATCCCAGCTTCAGTATCACTTTGGGAGGCTGAGGCAGGAGAATCGCTTGAACCCGGGAGGCAGAGGTAGCAGTGAGCTAAAATCGTGCCATTACACACTAGCCTGGGCGACAGAGTGAGACTCTGTCTCAGGAAAAAAAAAAAAAAATATATATATATATATATATATGTGTGTGTGTGTGTGTGTGTGTGTGTGTGTGTGTATATGTATGTGTGTATATATATATCTCCAAGATATACTGTTGAGTAAGAAAAGTGAAGAAGAGAAAATGTTTATTTGTTTCCTTTTTGTAAGAACAAAGTACAACTTAATTTATATTCATATTTGCATATAGTTGCATAAAGAAACATCTGAGAGGGAAACCAGGAAATGGGTTACCTTGGGGATGTGTTTTTGGGAATGACATTTATAGGAATGGTCTGTGAAGGAAGGCTGTTTATGGTACAGCTGTGTACATTGCTTTCACTTCTACTTTACAATAATGCCATACTATCTCAAAAATAAAAGACTTCATTCTGCTTCTAATTGCCAAGGAAAGTTTGCTTGTTTATCCACATAATAGATTGTAACAAAGGAGATATTTTGGCAGAAGGGTCTTTATTAACTCTGAATATTTTGTAAAGTTTCCCTGGAGCTAAGTAGGATAAATGGAAGAATAATAAGGGAGAAGAGTTGGAGCTTCACATTTTTCTTATCCTGAGGCCTTCACTACTTTTATAAAAATATAGAGATATTCTTTAGCCATTGTGGGTATTACTTATATTATCTTATGTATGTTGAAAATATATTTTTTAATCTGTTTTTTGACTTTTTAGTTTTTAATGAAATCTTGTCATGTAAAAGTATTAATTTTCCTTTTGTCAAATTAATAATTTCTTTTGTGATTTGTATGTGCATATGTTGTTAACCAATTTTTTATTCAAAAGATTAAAAAATTGTCTTTTAAAATATCTAGGGCTGAGCGCAGTGGCTCATGCCTGTAATCCCAGCACTTTTGGAGGCTGAAGCAGGCAGATGACTTGAGGTCAGGAGTTTGAGACCAGTGTGGCCAAAATGGTGAAACCCTGTCTCTACTAAAAATTTTTAAAAATTAGCCAGGCGTGGTGGCATGTGCCTGTAATCCCAGCTACTCAGAAGGCCAAGGCATGAGAATCACTTGATCCTGGGAGGCAGAGGTTGCAGTGAGCCAAGATCACGCCACTGCACTCCAGCCTGAGTGACAGAGTTAGATTCCGTCTTAAAAAAAAAAAATCTATATGGTTTGACAATGTAGATGCAGTAGGAAAATGTTTTTAAAAAGAGAAGAATGGGGATAGTATATACAAATATATATATTTTATTATATTTTATATTCTAGGGTACATGTGCACAACGTGCAGGTTTGTTACATATGTATACATGTGTCATGTTGGTGTGCTGCACCCACTAACTCGTCATTTACATTAGGTATATCTCCTAATGCTATCCCTCCCCTCTCCCCTCACCTCACAACAGGCCCCAGTGTGTGATGCTCCCCCTCCTGTGTCCAAGTGATCTCATTGTTCAATTCCCACCTATGAGTGAGAACATGCGGTGTTTGGTTTTCTGTTCTTGTGATAGTTTGCTGAGACCGATGGTCTCCAGCTGCATCCATGTCCCTACAAAGGACACGAACTCATCCCTTTTTGTGGTTGCATAGTATTCCATGGTGTATATATCCCACATTTTCTTAATCCAATCTGTCACTGATGGACATTTGGGTTGATTCCAAGTCTTTGCTATTGTGAATAGTGCCGCAATAAACATACGTGTGCATGTGTCTTTATAGCAGCATGATTTATAATCCTTTGGGTATATACCCAGTAATGGGATGGCTGGGTCAAACAGTATTTCTAGTTCTAGATCCTTGAGGAATTGCCACACTGTCTTCCACAGTGGTTAAACTAGTTTACAGTCCCACTAACAGTGTAAAAGTGTTCCTATTTCTCCACATCCTCTCCAGCATCTGTTGTTTCCTGACTTTTTAATGATTGCCATTCTAACTGGTGTGAGATGGTATCTCATTGTGGTTTTGATTTGCATTTCTCTGATGGCTAGCGATGATGAGCAATTTTCATGTGTCTGTTGGCTGCATAAATGTCTTTTGAGAAGTGTCTGTTCATATCCTTTGCCCACTTTTTGATGGGGTTGTTTGTTTTTTTCTTGTAAATTTGTTTGAGTTCTTTGTAGATTCTGGATATTAGCCCTTTGTCAGATGAGTAGATTGCAAAAATTTTCTCCCATTCTGTAGGTTGCCTGTTCACTCTGATGGTAGTTTCTTTTGCTGTGCAGAAGCTCTTTAGTTTAATTAGATCTCATTTCTCTTTGGCTTTTGTTGCCATTGTTTTGGCTTTTGTTGCCATTGTTTTGGTCCAAATCTGTCACTCAGGCTGGAGTGCAGTGGCGTGATCTTGGCTCACTGCAACCTCCGCCTCCCAGGGTCATTGTTTTGCCATCGTGTTTGGTGTTTTAGATGTGAAGTCCTCGCCTATGCCTATGTCCTGAATGGCATTGCCTAGGTTTTCTTCTAGGGTTTTTATGGTTTTAGGTCTAACATTTAAGTCTCTAATGCATCTTGAATTAATTTTTGCATAAGAAGTAAGGAAGGGATCCAGTTTCAGCTTTCTACTTATGGCTAGCCAGTTTTCCCAGCACCATTTATTAAATAGGGAATTCATTCCCCATTTCTTGTTTTTGACAGGCTTGTCAAAGATCAGATGGCTGTAGTTGTGTGGTATTCTTTCTCAGGGCTCTGTTCTGTTCCATTGGTCTATATCTCTGTTTTGGTACCAGTACCATGCTTTTTTGGTTACTGTAGCTTTGTAGTATAGTTTGAAGTCAGGTAGCATGATGCCTCCAGCTTTGTTCTTTTGACTTACGATTGTCTTGGCAATGCGGACTCTTTTTTGGTTCCATATGAACTTTAAAGTAGTTTTTTCCAATTCTGTGAAGAAAGTCATTGGTAGCTTAATGGGGATGGCATTGAATCTATAAATTACCTTGGGCAGTATGGCCATTTTCAGGATATTGATTCTTCCTATCCATGAGCATGGAATATTCTTCCATTTGTTTGTGTCCTCTTTTATTTCATTGAGCTGTGGTTTATAGTTCTCCTTGAAGAGGTCTTCCTAGGTATTTTATTATCTTTGTAGTAATTATGAATGGGACTTCATTCATGATTTGGCTCTCTGTCTGTTATTGGTGTATAAGAAGGCTTGTGATTTTGCACATTGATTTTGTATCCTGAGACTTTGCTGAAGTTGCTTATCAGCTTGAGGAGATTTTGGACTGAGATGATGGGGTTTTCTAAGTAGACAATCATGTCATCTGCAAAGAGGGACAATTTGACTTCTTCTTTTCCTAATTGAATACCCTTGATTTCTTTCTCTTGCCTGATTGCCCTAGCCAGAACTTCCAACACTATGTTGAATAGGAGTGGTGAGAGAGGGCATCCCTGTCTTGTGCCAGTTTTTAAGGGTAATTCTTCCAGTTTTTGCCCATTCAGTATGATATTTGCTGTGGGTTTATCATAAATAGATCTTATTATTTTGAGATACATTCCATCAATACCAAATTTATTGAGAGTTTTTAGCATGAAGGGCTGTTGAATTTTGTCAAAGGCCTTTTCTGCATCTATTGAGATAGTCATGTGGTTTTTGTCTTTGGTTCCGTTTATATGCTAGATTATGTTTATTGATTTGTGTATGTTGAACCAGCCTTTCATCCCAGGAATGAAGCCCACTTGATCATAGTGGATAAGCTTTTTGATGTGCTGCTGGATTTGGTTTGCCAGTATTTTATTGAGGATTTTTGCATCCATGTTCTTCAGGGATATTGGTCTAAAATTCTCTTTTTTTGTTGTGTCTCTGCCAGGCTTTGGTATCAGGATGATGTTGGCCTCATAAAATGAGTTAGGGAGGATTCCCTCTTTTCTATTGATTGAAATAGTTTCAGAAGGAATGGTAGCAACTCCTCCTTGTGCCTCTGGTAGAATTCGGCTGTGAATCCATCTGGTCCTGGACTTTTTTTGGTTGGCAGGCTATTAGTTATTGCCTCAATTTCACAGCCTGTTATTGGTCTATTCAGGGATTCGACTTCTTCCTGGTTTAGTCTTGGGAGAGTGTATGTGTCCAGGAATTTATCCATTTCTTCTAGGTTTTCTAGTTTATTTGCATAGAGGTGTTTATAGTATTCTCTGATGGTAGTTTGTATTTCTGTGGGGTCGGTGGTGATATCCCCTTTATCATTTTTTATTGTGTCTATTTGATTGTTCTCTCTTTTCTCCTTTATTAGTCTTGCTAGCGGTCTATCAATTTTGTTGATATTTTCAAAAAACCAGTTCCTGGATTCATTGACTTTTTGAAGGTTTTTTTGTATCTCTATCTCTTTCAGTCCTGCTCTGATCTTAGTTATTTCTTGCCTTCTGTTAGCTTTTGAATGTGTTTGCTCTTGCTTCTCTAGTTCTTTAAGTTGTGATGTTAGGGTGTCAATTTTAGATCTTTCCTGCTTTCTCTTGTGGGCATTTAGTGCTATCAGTTTCCCTCTACACAGTGCTTTAAATGTGTCTCAGAAATTCTGGTATGTTGTATCTTTGTTTTCATTGATTTCAAAGAACATCTTTATTTCTGCCTTCATTTCATTATGTACCCAGTAGTCACTCAGGAGCAGGTTGTTCAGTTTCCATGTAGTTGAGTGGTTTTGATTTTCTTCGTCCTGAGTTCTAGTTTGATTGCACTGTGTTCTGAGAGACAGTTTGTTATAATTTCTGTTCTTTTACATTTGCTGAGGAGTGCTTTACTTCCAACTATGTGGTCAATTTTGGAATAAGTGCGATGTGGTGCTGAGCAGAATGTATATTCTGTTGATTTGGGATGGAGAGTTCTGTAGATGTCTATTAGGTCTGCTTGGTGCAGAGTTGAGTTCAATTCCTGGATATCCTGTTAACTTTCTGTCTCATTGATCTGTCTAATGTTGACAGTGTGGTGTTAAAGTCTCCCATTATTATTGTGTGGGAGTCTAAGTCTCTTTGTAAGTCTCTAAGGACTTGCTTTATGAATCTGGGTGCTCCTGTATTGGGTGCATTTATATTTAGGATAGTTAGCTCTTCTTGTTGAATTGATCCCTTTACCATTATGTAATGGCCTTCTTTGTCTTTTTTGATCCTTGTTGGTTTAAAGTCTGTTTTATCAGAGACTAGGATTGCAACCCCTGCCTTTTTTTGTTTTCCATTTGCTTGGTAGATCTTCCTCCATCCCTTTATTTTGAGCCTATGTGTGTCTCTGCACGTGAGATGGGTCTCCTGAATACAGCAAACTGATGGGTCTTGACTCTTTATCCAATTTGCCAGTCTGTGTCTTTTCATTGGACCATTTAGCCCATTTACATTTAAGGTTAATATTGTTATGTGTGAACTTGATCCTGTCATTATGATGTTAGCTGGTTATTTTGCTCATCAGTTGATGCAGTTTCTTCCTAGCATCGATGGTCTTTACATTTTGGCATGTTTTAGTATATGCAAATATTTAAAAAATGTTTTCAGTAAATATATTCAGGAATATAGTATTCATATTTTATAACTGTTGCATGTGTAATGTCAGATAAAGCAAATGAATGTTTAGTGAATATTCTAATTTTAAATGTAATATAGAGGAGCTTAGGGAAAGTCGTCAGAGTCTTCTGTTTAAATTATATGTATGATGGATTCATGGTTAATCTATCTACCTATCTACCACCCATTTACCTATTTACCTGCTGGCTTTGTCCACTCAAAATTCCAATAACATTGACCATTCCAATAAATATCATCATTCCTAGGTTCAGATTGTTGTATTGCAATAATTTTTCTTGGTGTGAGAATCTAGGGCTTCTTGGAGAAATGACTGATTCCAGATTTAGAACAGGAAACCTGTAAGAGAAGCTAGAAACAGATGAATATGTTCAATTGCACCATGTGGATGAAATTAGCAAAACCGACATTATGGAAAACTCTACTGTCAAAATACCTGAGTTCTTCAACAAGTAGATTGGAAGAAAGTGAATGGGCTATACAGAGAATCTATCAATTAAAATAGACTTAAAGCATATGGAATTACAAAATGGACAACACTAAGTTATAATGCATAACGATTCAAACTAGGATGATTAAACTATTCAGGAAAGCAAGGCGGTAATTTCTTAAAGGTTGAGAATTGTAGTTTCTGCTGATGATAGGAGCATTGCAATTGTAATGGAACACACAAATGGATTTATGTGACTGCTCTCAAACTTCTGTTTCTTGATCTTGGTAGTGATTGCAATTATTATGAAGTGGTTCACCTTGTAACAGTCATACATCATGGAAGCAGACAGGGTGGCCGGTAAGAGTGGAGTTGGAGGCAGATGTCCAGTGTATTGAGAAAGAGTGCATGCTAGGGTGGGTTGGTTTTCATGTTTATTATTTGGTATTCATGACTGGATTTCATCTTCTTGAACATACACATTTATCTTTGTAAGATATATATTCTTCATGAAGTATTTGACATCAACCTTGTGTAGAAAATAGTAGAGACAGGTTATGGAGTTGAGGAGCAGGAGAGGAATGTTTTTTCAACCTGAAATGCCCTTAATCTTTTTAGAATAGAAGCAGTTGTTCTCCCTCTTTTGGTCTCTAGATTTCACAAGGAACAAGGGCTTAGAACTAAATGTTGATGAATTACTCTAGTGCCACTTAATTTTATCTCCTTGGTTTCCCTGGCTCTGAAGAACTACATTATATCCTTTTTGCTATATTCTTCTTTTTCTACTTGGTGACATTAATGGGAAACACCGTCATCATCGTGATTGTCTGTGTGGATAAACGTCTGCAGTCCCCCATGTACTTCTTCCTCGGCCACCTGTCTGCCCTGGAGATCCTGGTCACAACCATAATTGTCCCCGGGATGCTTCTGGGATTGCTGCTCCCTGGGATGCAAACAGTATCTTTGTCTGCCTGTGTTGTCCAGCTCTTCCCATACCTTTATATGGGGACATTACTTGGAGCAATGGCTGTGGACTGTTATATTGCTGTGTGTAACCCTTTGAGGTGCAACATCACTATGAACAGACACACCTGCAACTTTGTGGTTCTTGTGTCATGGGTGTTTGGGTTTCTTTTTCAAATCTGGCCAGTCTACGTCACGCTTCAGCTTACTTACTACAAATCAAATGTGGTGAACAATTTTTTCTGTGACCGAGGTCAATTGTTCAAACTATCCTGCAATAATACTCTTTTCATGGAGTTTATCCTCTTTTTAATGGCTGTTTTTGTTCTCTTTGCTTCTTTGATCCCTACAATTGTCTTGTACTTCTACATCATCTCCACCATTCTCAAGATCCCGTCAGCCTCTGGCCGGAGGAAATCCTTCTCCACTTGTGCCTCCCACTTCACCTGTGTTGTGATCGGCTACAGCAGCTGCTTGTTTCTCTACTTGAAACCCAAGCAAATGCAGGCAGTTGATTACAATCGGGTAGTTTCCTTGATGGTTTCAGTAGTAACTCCTTTCCTCAATCATTTCATCTTCACCCTCCGGAATGATAAAGTCATAGAGGCCCTTCGGGATGGTGTGAAATGCTGCTGTCAACTATTCAGGAATTAGCCTTGCTCTGAGACATTTTACATGATGAAGCACTTAGTATGGATTCTAGAATAATCTGAAAAGAACTTGCTCATCTTTGAACTGCATCATAATTATTACCATTATCAAATAATTAGTGTGCAACAAAAGACTTTTAAGTTACAGCTATGGTTTTTAATATGGTTAGTTGTTACTTGAAACTCAGTTTATTGTTTTTAAGACATGTCTTGCTATCTATCTAGCTATCTATCATCTGCCTTTCTTAAGATATAATGATTTCACAATTAAACTTTGAAAAATTAAATGTCAGAGATAGACTATCTATGTAGTCTAGAAAGTTGACTAGTGGTTGCTTAGGGCTGAGGGGAATGCAGACATAGGGTAGTGATAGCTAAGGGGTACAGGCTTTCTTTTTGAGATGATGGCTGTAAATATCTACGAATATACCAAACACCATTGAGCTGTACATTTTCAATGAGTTAATTTTATGGAATGTGAATTATATTTCAATAAAGCTATTGAAAATAGTATATTAGATGGTGAAGAAGTATTGTGAAGAAAAGTGAAACAGGAATGAAAGGGAATATCTCTTGCAGGAGTGTTGAAATTTCAAATAAGGTTTTCAGGGAAGGATTGAGAGAGGTAAGGTGGTGATACATTCGGAAACCTGTTAAAGAACATTCCAGGCATAGTGAGTAATAAGTGGGAGATCCTAGGGAAGGCATAGCAAAGACACTGAAATGGAGTGTGCAAAGGAGAAAGCAATTGCAGTCAGAGTGGTAACTGGAATGCAGACCATGTAGAGCCTTGTGAGCCTTTTTTTTTTCCAGGTATGCAAAAAGATAATATTATTTTACTTTTTTTTCCTTTTTTTCTTATACTTTATGTTCTAGGGTACATGTGCACAACATGTACCATGTTGGTGTGCTGCACCCATTAACTCGTCATTTATATTAGTTATTTCTCCTAATGCTATCCCTCCCCCATCCCCACACTCCATGACAGGCCCTGGTGTGTGATGTTCCCTGCCCTGTGTCCAAATGTTCTCATTGTTCAATTTCCACCTATGAGTGAGAACATGTGGTGTTTGGTTTTCTGTCTTTGCAATAGTTTGCTGAGAATGATGGTTTCCAGCTTCATCCATGTCCCTACAAAGGACGTGAACTCATCCTTTTTTATGGATGCATAGTATTCCATGGTGTATATATGCTACATTTTCTTAATCCAGTCTATCACTGATGGATATTTGGGTTGGTTCCAAGTCTTTGCTATTGTGAATAGTGCCACAATAAACATACGTGTGCATGTGTCTTTATAGTAGAATGATTTATAATCCTTTGGGTATATACCCAGTAATGGGATCACTGGGTCAAATGGCATTTCTAGTTTTAGATCCTTTTAAAGATGTTTGCTCTTTCCAGAAGCACATTGGAAAACCATCACAGGTGGCTGAAGAAGAGTAACAGAATCTGTTTAATGTTTTAACAAGATCATCCTGGTTGCTGGATGAACAATACATGAAAGGACAATAAAGGGAGAAGGATGAAGGCCAGGTGGAGATTGCATCAGTTAGATTTTGCTATATGAGACATAACCAGAAAACTCCAGTGGTATGCAGTGATAAGCTTTTATTTTCATGCTTAGAGTTTCTGCTGATCTAGGGTGGCTCTGCTGCTCTCAGGTGGATTTGTTCATGAGTCTAAGGGTTGTATGGGGGTTGGCTGACCTAGGCTGGGCCCACATTTGAAGTCATGAAAAGTGTGCCTTTGATCTCCATGTGGCTTGGCCACAACATTTTTGAGGCACCCTTCTCTGACTTGGGCAAATTTTTATTCCCGTATTATAAATGAGTTAACAAGTTCTGAAACATTAAGTGGCTTGCCTACATTAAGCTTCTAGCAAATTGAAAAGCTGCTTCTTGGATGAAGATCTCAACTTCAAATCCTCTACAAAATGCTTCTCCTAATGTCTAATGCCATTGAGATACATAGAGGAATGTTATTTAATATGTGCAATAATTTTTTGAGATAGGTATTACTACCCCATTTTATCAGTAAGGAAACTAAGACCAAGAAAGAGTAGGAAAACTGTACTGATTCACACAGCATATTAGAAGCAAAGTCAAAACTCAAATTCAAATTTCATTGCCTTTTTTTTTTTTAAAGCATGCCACTGCTATCTAATAAAGATCACATTTATCTAAGCTTGCAAGGATCCAGGAACTCTCCCAATGGTAAACTTAAACCAAAGCCCACATTTTCCCTATCTACTCCCCACTCCCACCCCAGGCCACTGGGCTCCTTTTAGAACCTGCACAGAAGTGTCTTCTAATCTTGGGGGAAATTTAAACTGTCTACTAAAGAAATCACTAGATGTCTACATTTCCTGATCTTAAAAGTTTGCAGTTATTCTGTCATGAAACAGGAAGTGAAGCAACTATAGTTCTCTCTTCTCAAAACAGAAGGATTAGGATTTCCTTTCTGTTGTCTGAGTTCTGGGGCTTGCCTTTGGCTAGAATTGATTTTTCTCTCCACTTAGAGAGAAAAATCAATTGTTGATTTTTCTCTCCACTTAGACTCAGCCTTACTTCCCTTCTCAACGGTAGCACTTATTCTTTCCTAACACAGTCAGAGAACTTGTATCTCCACAGGCTGCTAATATAATTCCAATTTCCACCCCATCTCAAACACAAATTACTTCTGGTGATTCTCTTTAAGCAAGTTCTGACACCTGATGTGTTATCTCATTTTTAAAAATTGTAAGTGGCCATGCTAAGGAGCCAAAAATGATGAAACCTAGGAATGCAGAAACAGAACTTAGTGTTGTAATAAAAAATATGATTTACAACATCTTGTTTGGTATGCATATACTGATATGTACAGTCATGACTGTGGTACATTGTTATTAGACACAAAATGGTATGCATTGTACTTAGGTGACTATTATTTCCATCAGTTTTATACATGGTCTTCCTTATGGTTTACTTATTCTTACTCAAAACACACAAGGCATCTCTTTTATCTTTCTCATGCACCAAGCAGGGTAAATAGCTGATGTCTTGTGAATGTAGAGAACAGCCAGGGTACTCCAAGACTTTTCTTCCTCTTTCTTGCCTTTCTTCCAGTGTGGCCAAATGAATGCTCTGTTTCCTGTCTCAGGTGATTTCCATTTGACCCTGATGTTCTCTTTCTACTATGTGCTTATTCCTTGTCCCCAGCCAATGTTTCCCTGAGCAGCCCTCCTCTTTTTCTATTGCTTCATCAGCTGGACCTGTTCTAGATCAATGTGATGCCAACCAGTGCCAGGGTCCTTGGGTCAGTAGGCTGTGCCTGATATCAGGTTCTCTCTAGAACTAGGGGACGAATATATTGTGATTATTGTTGCCTAAGAGACTATCCAAAATTTTAAAAATATACTCAACAAATACAGTCAGGTACTCAAAACCTTCAGAGCAAAGGAAGCCTGCTTACCTAAATTTTGGTTACAAAGGAGTTACATATGTTATAATGGAGTTTCAGAAATATGACAAGGGAATTTTTAGCTTAAGTGTCTCTTCAGGGCTTTGCTGAAGAACAGAAACCTAGTGTGTTTTGTTCCCTTGGCTGTCTGGTTTTCTTCAAAGGGGTCTCCAAGAAGGTTCCTATCCTGCCCAGACGTCTCTCCATTCCCATAAACAATGCTGCTGTCTGTGCTGCTCCAAGCTCAGCACTAGGAGCCCTCCCCAAGGCCCAGCCTTAGTTCAGACTGAGGAGAGCCTCTGCTACCCCAGCTTGTGGAGTTAGGAGGGGCATGTGAATGGGGTTCCCTTGAGAACAGAGATGAGGTCACAGGAGCTACGTTTATCCCTCTTCCACCATGGTAATCCCTAAATAATGTTTATAATTGCTCACTCTACAGTTGCTCCCTGGTAGTACGGTAGATACTCTGAGGCTAAAATAAAACAAACCCTGTCAACAGACTAGGCCCTTTTGATCAGTCGGAAATGTTCAGTACTACAGAAGCAGACCTCATCTCAATACCAACTGAGTTGTTTCCATAAGACTGATCCTGTCTCCTGGAGATGGCTAGTATCCAGTCCCCCAGTGCAGAAGAAAGAAGCTCAGTTTCTCAAATGGGCAAGGACCGCTGCTGGTAGACAGATAGGTAAGTAAAAGGATCACTGGCCAGATGACCTGTGTGGATTCAAAAAGAGTTCCAAGTATGGTTCTTGTCACAGGGAACTGTGATCATTTGGCATTCTTCTCACAGATCCTGCGGTAGCGGATGTCACATGATGCAGCATCAAATGTCTTTGTTAGGCCAATGGTCGCGCAGTTGAAATTCTGATTCTGATTGGTAACACTAAATGAGAAAACAAAACAAAACAAATAAACAAAAAAACAAAGCATGGTAATGGCCCATCATTTTAGCCCAGGCTCTTCTGATTCCAGAGTGAGAGTCTTGCAGGAATTTTGCCTGGAGGGGCAGCAGACTACCGGGCCCACACAGGCCTCCATTTGGGAAGCCTCCTTTTTAGCTCAGATCCCTCTCCTCATCCAGCTCCACAAATGCAGCTGTAAACCGACCCTTTCCTGTCAGCTCTTCTGCGAGCTTGTACGGATTCACAGTCTTAGACTAACTCACTCACTGTGGCGTTCGGTTAGAAGCATCTCATGGACTGTCTCTTCTTCCAAAAGTACTGTTTAGGACAGTACATGTGTTCACAGCGGGAGGACAGGAAGGAAAAGGAGAGAGGTTGTGCATCCCTTTCCAGACCATAGTGGCTTCAGAAAAACTTGGTGGAGGTATGTGTTGGCTCTCCCACCTCTTTTTCTGTCATTCAGTCTGTTTCAGTCTGACTGAAAAGACTCTGGTTTCAGAGAAATGTCATGTGTTTTGGACTAGCTGTATGATATTTAACACATTTCTAAGTTTTTCTTGTCCTCAGTTCAACTGTCTGTGAAATGGGGAGTGATAAAAGCATCATGGGGAATATTTCAGGAAACAACATATGCAAAGTGTTTAGCATAGTGCTGGCATTAGCAGACACTGAATAAATATCAATTTCCTCCTCCCTGTAGGGAAGCCCAGTTACAGGCTGGGGGACTGACTTGACCTCTGTTTGAATCACTACTTTCGTACAAACACTGGGAAAATTATTGGTGTTCTCACCAATCCTAATCTCCATGGAACAATTCACAGGAGATAGCTCTTGGGGGTCAGAAGTTCATAGCTTTGAGGCATAGACACGTTGCTTATAATAACCTTTATTTAGATAAAGAAGGCACATCTGGGGAAACTTGTAGGTACTTTGTAATAAAATGTGATCTGTGGGTTAAAAGATGAAGCCCTTTTGATCAGTCAGAAATGCTAGGTGTTATAGAAATAGATCTCATCTCTATACCAACTGGGTTGCCTCCATAAAACTGACCGTGTCTCCTTGAGATAGCTAGCATCCAGTCTAGACTCATATCTAGTCTGTTTGAAGTCAAGAAACTAAGCTTTTTTGATCAGTCAGAAATGCTCAGTGCTATACAAACTAGCATCTAAAGAGAGCTACATGATACATCAAATGAGTGCTATGTATGTGGATTTGTTTGGATCCTGATTTGAATAAAATAATTTGCTATATGAATACTCTTCTCTCTCCTTATGAAAGTTTGATCTCTTTCATAAGAAAAAGTTTATTAAAATGTGTCTCAGGGAATGGATGGGTTGGAAGAAAGGAGAAGAGCAGAACAGAGTCAAGCGTCAGCGTTTGAGCTATTCCAGAGTGAACCCACCAATCTCAGGTTTGGTCTTTTGAAGCAAACCAAGATCCCCAGGAAACTGTGGGATGTTCACGTACTT